TCATAAATTCTATACCTCTAAAGATTTAATTATAATTTTACGATTCTCTTTCAAAAACTCTAAAAGATACTTTGAGAGAATTTAAGACTGATTCTATTGAAAGAAAGTACACTGTCTATGAAAGCTACAGGAAGATACATTATTTCTTCCCATTACAAGGCTCTCAGAAGGATACTAGAAGGAACAGTAGCCTAGTGTTTGGATTTTAAAAGGGGGAAATATTTCATTTAAAATTAACTGAAATGAACATTGTCTTCCTCAGAAAATCATCCTTCTTTTTTTTTTATAAGACTGAGAGCAGAGCTGAAAGACTGAATTTCAAAAAGTAGCAAGTCAGAACACAGTTCAAAGATATTGTCAATCCATGACAGCACAAGTTTCTCTGTAAGACAGTTGAAGACTAATCATATTCAGCTTTCTATCACTATGACTTTATTAAAGATGAGGAAGCTGAAATGGTGATTTGACAGTCACATATTTCTCGCTCTCCTAGCACCTCAGATACCTCTGAATATTTTTCAATGACTAATTCATTCACATTAATAAACGTCTGTTAAAACACATTTTAATTCACAAAACAAAATCAAAATCCATTCACTTGCTGTAAAGTGTCACCATCCTTTTAGTCAGAAAGTCAGTGAATTTTTTAAATAAGCATTGTGAATAAGCTATTTTAATTCCAGCTCCTTTCAATGATGATAGCCTGTTTCAGTTTTCTAACCAAGGACTTTGAGTTCACATAAAGATATAAATGAAACCTAGTCGAAAAGCCAACTCATCAGCCACATCTGAAAAAATGCCACCTTAAGGGGCAAGCCTGAATCATGCATTCCTAAAGCCCCAATTCCATTTCTCAGCTACCACACTAACTGGAGCTGCAGGAAATCTTCAAGTTGATATCTGTAGCCTTCAGGTTAGCAGAGAGAATCAGTTCTTCTCTCAGTGTGAGTTTAATCAGCACTGTCCAAGAAACTCCAGGATCCAACTATACACTGCAAAACCTTCCTGCTTAACTATCTTATTACTTTACTCTTGTTCAAAATACTATTTCTTTACTCATTTAATTTTTATAGGGCATACAGGCTAGTTTGTGATTCTATTTCTTAAAATTAAATTGCTTTGGAAAGCATCGATTTGGTAGCATCAAGATCCTTAATTGAATCCCTTGACACACTGTACATCAGGGAAAACAAAAAAGAATTACACAGCATTTTACAGATTTAACATCTTGGTCAATCTACAATAATCTTCATGAACCTCTGTATTTTATATTGAAAGGCAGATTAAGTATGTATACTCACAGACATCCAAGCTTTGTTGTAATTGTTGCATAGTTAAAACTCTTACTCAGAAATCACAAAGCAAACTTTAAATAAACATTTACTGAGGTTCTCGTGTGGTTTCTTTTGTCACATAGTAGCTCATACTATCAATGATCTAATTTCAAGAAGCCTTAATTTCTGGGTGGATGGACCTGAAATGATTCACCACTTGGCTTCATATAAACCACTATTAAATCTTATGCATATCACAGTGGTTATAAGCAATCAGCCTCTCTGGGTTCTTAACCCAGTTTTGCCACTTCTGAGCTGTGTGATTTGGGGCAAATAACTCCTCTGTGACTAGTTCCTTCATTTGTAAAATAGGTATTATTATGGTACATATAGCATAGTGCCTAGAAATACACTGGCGCCAAGAACAAACTAAATCATTGAAAGCTGCTGCTGTTATTATTTTATTGCAGTTGATTGTTGTTGCTATTATCATTATTAACAACACTATTACAGACTCAACTGACATCATCTCACCTGTGAAACTTTTTGTACATATCAGCTTTCTTTACATCCTACCCTACAGTATTAGCTTATCTCTTTAATTATATGTCTTTCTATTCTACCAAACTTGAAGTCCCTCCAGGGTAAATGTGTTTTATTCATCTTTTTATAACCAGTGCTCAACAAATGTTAGCTGAAAAAAATGAATGAATGAAAGACTGAATGTGGCTGCTGTTATCCACAGTTGAATTTTGGCATTCAAACTCATCATTTGATAAACACTTATTAAACATATATTAGTTACAAGATGCTGTGCTATGGTGCAGTAGGGACACAAAGACAATGTAATGCACCTAATAAAGAAGGCTCACAACCCAATAAAGGAGACAAATGCTTATCTATTTAATTAGACTGGCCCTAATGCCATATGGTAAGTATAATGTGCTGAGGGAGTAGAGGGAGGAATCTATTAATTGTGTTCCAGGTTGAGTCTGGTGAAGTCATAAGAAAGGGCTTTCAGAAGAAGAAACATCTCAGCTAGGTCATAAAAGAGAGACTTTCTAAGAGAAAGAGAATTCCATGTCTAGGGCAAAGGATAAGTGAGATTGTCAGTCTGGTAGGCAGAATAATGTCCACCCCCAAATGTACCCATGTTTGAATTTCTGGATCCTATAAATATGTTACCTTGTATGGCAAAGGGACTTTACAGATGTGGTTTAAGGATTCTGAAATGGTAGATCATGATTTGGGCAAGCCCAATACAATCCTTATAAAAGAGCAGTACCAGAATCAGATTCAGAGAGAGAAAATGTAAGGATGAAAGCCAAGGTCAGAGATTGGAGTGATGTACTTTGAATGTGGAGGAATGAGGCATGTGCCAAGGAATGTACGTAGCCTCTAGAAGCTGGAAACGAAAAGGAAAGAGATTGTCCCCTAGATCCTCCAGAAGAAATGCAGGAATGGCAACACCTTGATTTTAGCCAAGTGAGTCCAATGCATTTTGGACTTGTGACCACCAGAACTATAAGATTAAAATTTTGTGTTGTTTTAAGCCACTAAGCAACAATAGGAAATTGTTACAGCAAAAATGTGAAATGATAAGTTTCAAGAATAGTGTAAATAGACCACAGGTTGGGGGCTGTAGTGACAGAAGTTGAAGATGTCTATGTAGGATTGTTAATAACAAAATATGCTAAGTACGAAGTTAGGACTTTCCCTTCATGCCCCACATGATGTTTTTCACTCATATTTTAACTTCATCCAATGATACTTCAGGCACCTTCACTTTCTTTACCATTTTTTAAATCATAGAAACAATATGTATATTGAATACATTTCCTCAGAATACCCATGATGGCTCACCTAATATTCTGATTTGCCCCTTTCACACACTCCTAAGATTCTTTGCAATACATACAATGAAGAATCAATGGATGCTTATTGGTGAATAATCTGAACTGTTTTAGAAAGCAAAGTTTGAAAGTGAAAGAAACTAGTTATCAGGCAGTGGTACAGGAAGATGAAAAAGAGGGTCCACCTTAATGCTGTAGTGGTGAATATTGGGAGAGCAGGATGGGCTCAGGAATAGAATTTAGTGACATATTTTTTTTTAAAGTGGCATTAAAAGGAAGCTTCAAAAGTGGATCTGATGCATATAGTTTGAGCGACTAGGTCTATTATGATACTATTCATTAATATGTAGAAATAGAAAAGATATTTGGGGCAATGAGGGTGGAGAAATATACAAAATTACATTTGAAGCATGTAGATTTTAAATTGTCTGTGGAATTCCCTGTTAAAATTGTCTTGTAGTTAATTGAAATTATTAGCCAGAAGCTCAGTGGAGACATGGAAGATAACAACATTGTAATTGTAACTGAAGTTAAAGACATGGGTTAGGATAAACAAGGAAGAAAGTACAAATAATAAAGAAGGCTTACGCATCCAACTCTAGAGCCTACCAGTATATATGAGACAGGCAAAAGGAATCAAAAGAGAGAAAAAGGGAAAACATTAGGCTTTAAAGGGAATGTGAATCAGGAAAGAGTTGGGCCAATGAAGCAAGCAAGGATATTTAAGGACACAATCAACAGAGTTTATGTATTGTAAGCATAAAGAAACAACTGCTTTAGAATTAAGATGCTTCTGGTGATATTGGCCAGTTTTTAGTGGGACAAATGGGGGCATAATCAGAAAATTGAAGGAGGAAAATTAGCTTCATTGGCTTGTTTCTGAATGGTAGGTAAGTTTGGAAGTAAAATAGAGGGACTCTGTAATCATTTGTTTTACTCTACTTACACAGTAGAGAATTGGTTTTAGAATAAGAATGAACTAGATTAAGAGTCTTACCTTATGTTAGGTTACAGAAGCTATTTCATCTCTACACGTCCTGGTTTTATTAGCTACAAAGCATGGACGTAAGTACGTGCCAGATGTATTTCATTTCAGTTTATTTCATTTCTGATCTACTTTTCCCAACACACTGAGGCAGTAAATATATTTCAAAGTTTTACAGCCTTTAAATAATTGCCTTTATGGTAGCTACCAGAGTATTTAACAATGACATTTAACTGTAGACATTTTTAAATGCTAGCTTTTTTCCTATATCTTCTTTCCATTCCTGGCTAGTATGTAATAATTACTTATTCTAAAAAAAATGATCCATTATATTTTATTTAATCCTTAAAGCTTTTACATTGCCAAACACAAGATTGTACCAGTCATTTTCTTCACTCTAATCAAAGTATAATTAAAGTATCCATTTGT